ATAAAAGTTAGATCTTATTAGTCAAGAAACAAAGAACATTAGAGATGACTGAGCACAACAAATGACTTTCAAGTATCTGGTATCCAGTAACCTTTCTTGTGATCAGTTCATGAAATAGTCCATAAATTCTCTATATGTAAAAATACATTACACAAATAAATCATCGAATAGGTTTTTTCTCCCCGGGGTGTTGGGGTTTTTTTGTTTGTTTGTTTTAACTGATGGTGTTAGAGAAAATCTGAGGAGAGAACCAACCAAATATACCAGCAGCCAGGATGGAGCTGCGGGCCTCTCAGAGGTGTGCATGCCCAAGTGCTGTCAGCTGTGGAGGCTGAGGATTCAGGGCCTCCTGCTGGATGCCCTCCACGTCTAAGCACAGTTAATGGTGGATTCATATCACGTCTCCACACGTGTGCATGGCTGTGAGGAGGTGAGGGGCTGTAACAGCAATGGCAGGGCCTTGTACATCCAGGTGCCAGTGACTTGGGAGACTGGGATCCAGGGGCAGGTACTGGGCAAACAGCACGCCTGAGCCCAGCTGCTGGAGGGATCCACCTTGTACATTTGTATCGCTATATTTGCCAGTAACAGAAAAAAAACTTGCAAACCAAAACAAAAAACTTGCAAACCAAAACAAAACTCGTAAGCCTTTGAAAGGCTGAATTTCAAAATTCTCCATATGGGTTTCCATCTTTCCTGGCCTATTTGGCTGAGCATTGTGATACCAAGTGGGGAGTCTATGCCCTCGGAGCTGGCAAGGAACTGGTCTACTTATCAGTAAGTTTATGGAGGATGGAACAACTTACTGAGGGCGACAACACTGGGGAGTAGAGGATAAAGAGGATCATGAGCAGGAAGGTTAGCATCCCTTCTTGTTCTACACGTTGTGCAACACAGACACAGATGGTTGGTGCAGACCTCTGCTGGTAACATATGCCTGCACGTTTAGGGGTGTTTTCTTGTCTGCTTCCAGCATCCCTGAAGTAGAGGAGGGCACTGTCCTTGAAATTGATAGTGTGACTAGCAATTTCTGCTCTAGGCAGTGCTTAGCAGGGACTGGAAACTATGATGCAATAGGTACCCAGTAAGCCCACATCTGTGCAGTGCACAATAAGACAATGGGGAACAGTGTTTGACTGGGGTTTATATGCAAGAAAATGTTAGGTAATCAGTTCATGTTTCTAATTAGCCAAGCGTTAATGCAGACACCAAGTGGTAGAAGATGACATTATTCCTTGAAAAATAAGGCATGGTTTATTATCTGCAGTGTTACTTGTAATTTATCCTTTTTTGATCTGACTCAGAAACATGAATATTCAAGAAAACCTCTGAGGCTTAGCCACAGTAGCAGATGGGGTTGCATCTGTAAAGGAGTCGACTGTTTTGTCTACTTTGTATTGCAATTAAAAGCAGTTGCAATGACAATTCATCTGGTATGAAGAATTAGGAAACAAAGTACTCTTACCTTGTTTTTGTGGACTTTTAGTAGTAATCCTTTTAAAAGTAGTAATTATAGCACATTATTCATTGAAGTCTGAAATGTCTACCTTCCAAAAACATTGCATGACAGTTTCAGTTTAGGAAAACTGCTTAAAGCAATTGACAAAAGACCTTTCCTACAAGTGCCATGTAATTGTTTTATTTTTAAATTTTATAAATTCAAACTTTGTATTGGGTTTACGTGGCAAGGAGGGGGGGACTACAGGGCGGGCTTCTGTGAGAAGCTTCCAGAAGCTTCCCCCTTGTCCAACAAAGGCAATGCCTGTGAACCCATGAAGAGAAGAGCCCACGTGGGTGCAAGTTTGCTGACAGGACTCGTGACTCCTGACATATGACCAAAACTGGAGCAGCCTGTTCCTGAAGGACTGCAATCCATGGATGGGACCCACACTGAAGCAATTCATGAAGAACTGCAGCCGATGGGAGGGACCCACACAGAAGTTCATGGAGGACCTTCCTGTGGGAGTGACCCCACGCTGGAGCAGGGGAAGAGTGTGAGAAGTCCCCACTAGAGGAGGAAGGAGCAGAGACTGATGAACTGACCACAGCTCCCATTTCCCATTTCTCTGTGCTGTTGGAGGGGAAGAGGGAGGGAAAACTGGGAGTGAATTTGAGCCCGGGAAGAAAGGAGGGGTAAGGGGAAGATGTTTTTAAGTTTGGGGGTTTATTCTTATAATCCCACTCTGATTTCATGGCTGATAAATTAACTAATTTGCCAAGTCAAGTCTGTTTTGCCTGTGACAGTAACAGGTGACTGATCTCTCCCTGTCCTTACCTCAACCCACTAACCTGTCATTACCGATCTCTTCTCTGTGGTGATCAGAAACAGGACCTGAGGGAATGGCATGAGGCTGTGTCAGGGGAGGTTTAGGGTGGATATCAGGAAAAGGTTCTTCACCCAGAGGGTGGTCAGGCACTGGAACAGGCTTCCCAGGGAAGTGGTCACAGCACCAAGCCTGACAGAGTTGCAAAAGTGTTTGGATGATACTCTCAGGCACATGGTGTGACTCTTGGGGATGGTCCTGAGCTGGACTTGAAGATCCTGATGTGTCCCTTCCAACTCTCTCTCCTGCCCAGCTGAAGAGGGGAGTGGTAGAGTTACTTTGGTGGCCAGTTGGCATCAAGACAAAAGTAGATGCTTTTAACCAAGATTTTAAACGGCAACAAATCAACAAAGCACTGAGTTGCAAAGACTAACTTAAAAAAGGAAGAGAAATAAGAGGAAGAAGCAAAAGCCACATGGGGCTAGTGAGGACACCAGACCTCAGTGAGAAAAGGAAGTAACAAGTTGAGAACTGAGAGAATCACATATCATAGCTATGGTAATTTTGAATGGAACCTGACTTTTTTAGATCTAGTTTTATTAGAAAATTGATGGAATATTAAAAAAAAAATATATATAAATTACGTCGAGGAATAATGCTACAGGAATACTTCAAGATCACTTAGTGGGAATTAAACTATTATGGCAAAAAACCACAAAACCACCCCTTAACTAATTTATCTGCTCCTAGACATTGTATTTCAAGGAGGGGTTTGAGTGTCTTCAGATGGGAATCTGGGTGAAAGCAGGTTCAATGTGTAGCACCAGATTTCTCTTCTACTATTTAAATGACAAGTATGAAATATCACTAAACTGTGAAATCTACAACGTTATTTCAATTTAGTATTAATAAAAATTATATTGTTCATCAACAACCTAGTTCTCTTTTTGCTCATGAAAATAGCTCTTTTTTTCTTGGTCATTTAGCTTTCTGTTTATAAGACTACACTGTTATATGCTGTCTGTATAGCTATTCATATTTTCTAAACTGATTTTCCTACTATTCCTTTATTCTATTAGTAATGATCATATACTGCACTGTTTTAGGCTAAATATTACGCTTAAGCTATCGCTCTTTAGTTCTGAGTCCTAGTAAAATTTGCAAGGATTACTTGAAGCATAATAAGGACTACTTTCATCTTTGGTTAGTATATGATGTTAGTATATACTGGTCACTCTCCTTTAACACTTGAACACTTTCACAGTACTATTTGGGACTTTCAAGTCAGTTCTCCTGTTCCAATACCACCATCATTTTCCAAAGAGACAGGCAGGGAATGAAAGTGGAAAGATATTTGCCCTCACAAAACAAAACAGCACTGGGCTGCTTTGTCACAGGGTTTCCTTGCACATTAGCAGAACCCTGGCTTTGCACAGCATCTGGTTGGTCTCCTGCAGCAAACACGACACATGGAGCAAGGGGCATAGCTGGAAGCCTCTTGAACTGTTCACATATACACTGACATAGATAAAAAAGACTGAATCCCTAACCAATGCAGCAGCCAGCAGGACACAATAATAGCAGGTACCTGGAGTAGGTTTTGCTAGCTAGCATTGGGCTGGCCTTTAATCTTGACAGTGCTTCTCAATGTTTGAACCCTGGTTCACAGATTACACAGCCCTTTCTTTTCTGGTAGAAGTTTATAACTAAGTTGGCAGTGGTTCACCCTCCCAGAGCAGCTGGAACGTGTGGCTTTGCTAGTGCTCTCTCTTCAGATCCAGCCACTTGCTTTCTCTCTGGAAAACTGGACAGGTATTTGCAAAGCAAGAGGCTGCAAATTAATTAGGGGGCAGGGACAAACAACAACAATGAGAGGCTCTTACTAGCACATTGGTAATGCATCATCTTCAGAGAAGCATTACACCAAATGGTGTGTCAATTGTCACACAGGTTTTCCTTCATGTCTGCAAACAAATAACCTGTGGCTTCCACTATCCACTTGTACACAACAAAGCATCATGTATTGGCTTTGAGTTTTAACCAAACATGATAAACCAAGCAAGGGATGTAAAAAACACGTTAAAAAGTTTAAGAGCAAGCTTCAGTTGTGCAACTCTCTCAGCTGTAAACCTTGTTTTAGGCTTTACCCTTTAGTTGTCTTGCAACACTAACTTTCACAATTGCTTGCTTACGTGTATTTCATGTATTTTTGCATGGGCACAGAGATGATGATAAATGCCGCATCACTGCAAAAAGTGGTGCAATTTTCCCCAGCAGTCTCCTGTCTTCATAAGACTGATGTATGTCTGAAAGGCTTCCCCCACAACTGCAACCATTATTGGTAAAACTTAATAGCATAGAACAGGCTTGGACAGTCTCATAACAAAAATTATTAATATATTTCAATCAAAGACTAGTGCTTATTAGAGCTGTTTCACAAATAGGCTGTAAAAACTCTGTGGTAGGCATTAAGGATTTTGTGACTGGTGGTAGAATACAAGTTTATATAACAAGTCATTCATACAGTACCTTTACTCCACAAAAAGATATGGTGCTGAACCACAATTAAATAGTTAAAACAGCAGGCAGTACAGCTGTTTTAAGAGTGACCTAGAAGCAGGAGAAGAACCCAAACAAGTATTCTCTGCTTCTGTTAATCTTTGCTCTAATTGCAAGTGTAGAACATCACAGCTACATACTCTGCTTTAGGTAATAAAGAATGTGTGACTAGACAAATTTATTTTGTAACTTTTAGTAATTGTTTCAAGTACATCTGGTACAGTTCACATATGCATCTAGGGGATTCTAATCCAACCTTATTATTACAGTCCCCAAGATCTCAACTGGGATAATGAAACTGCTGGTACAAAAGCCTTCATCAACCTCCACAAGTTAGAGCAAGAATTACTAACAAGAAAAGAAAGGTATTCAAGCAAGACACCACAAATAATATTTTATTAGGGGTAGGCAATCTGACTAGAAGTCTCTCTTAAAAGAAAAAAAAAATCACTGTAGATATTATACCCAATAGCAAACATGCATGTTTTCTCCCTCTGGAATGGGCTGAACAGTTTATTTTCACACTATATATTCTTAAAAAAAATTTTTTGGTATTAAGATATTTTGCAACAAAAAAAATTCTGTCAAAGCTGCTGAAAGGGGATCACAAGTGAAATATGACAAATAAGTGGGATATTGTTTAAACAAAAGGCAGTTCTAGCATTTGACCATTGATCATTTGCTTTTACCAATGTACCTGGGTCTTGAAATGCAAGAATCAGAGTCATTTAGGTTGGAAAAGAACCCTAAGATCACTCAGTCCAGCCTCTAACCCAGCACTGCCAAGTCCACCAGTAAATTATATCCCTAAATTGCAACAACTACATATCTTTTCAATATCTCCAGGGATGATGACTCCACCACTTCCCTGAGTAGCCTGTTCCAATATTTCCCTTTGAATGAAGAAATTTTTCCCAATATCCAATCTAAACCTCCCCAGCACAGCATGAGGCCATTTCCTCTCATTTTGTTACTTGTTACCTGGTAGAAGACCCCAACATCCCGCCTGGCTACAACCTCCTTTCAGGTAGTTGTAGAGAGCATTAAGATTCCCCTAAACATCCTTTTCTCCAGGCTAAACAACGCCAGCTTCCTCAGCTGCTCCTCGTAAGACTTGTGCTCTAATAAACCGCCTCAAATAAAATCTGCACTTTACTTAGGGAAGGTTCTAATAGTGAGAATAATAAATATAATCACACAAAAACCAAAACAGTGTGGTTTGATTTTGTTGTTAATCCAATTGGCTAGAATTTCTAAGCACACTGACATTCACATCCCTTAGATCTTAGCTTTTCCTTTTCTGTAAGAAGAGAAGGAACAAGGATAAGCTGTCTGACCATCACATTTCAGAACTCCATCCCACTATAAGCAAATCATAAATTAACATTATGTGAGCAAAGGAGATGAACTTCTAGCCAAGAGAAGTATTTAGCAGCATAGTAGCAGAACAAAACTGAGGCACCAGTACAAATTTTCTGTGAACTATGATAAAAGACTACTGACTATATAGAGCTAGATCTTGAATAGGAGACAAAGTGAACACAGAAACCTTTCTCTTGCTGTTTACTACAATAAGAAGCTTTGCCTTTTCATAAAAGCTAAAAAAGAATGTATTAGAGACTAAAGTGCTGCAGCCAGATTGTTTGGGGTTGGTAGGTTGTCCATTAGTGGTTTTTTAACAAATATCCCTGAAGGTACAAGATAATTCCATAGTTCATGGTGAATTAGTAATAAAACACTTTGAGGAGATAGTGCTCTTTGAATCCTGGTTTTTTTCCCAACTAAAACAGTTGATGATTTAGACAGCAAAATTTTAAAAACTGCTACAGCAATGTGACAGTGTTTAGAAATATCCTGATATATAAGATTAGGTTTCTAAAATTCTCTTTAGGATCACTTAAAGCATATTCTCTTGAAGTTTTATTGTCCACTAAGTCCATTTTAGCATTGAGGAATAACTCATCCTCCTCACTATCCTTTCTCTGTCCAAGGAACATCATGACTGAATGTTCACCAAAACAGCTACGATCAAAGTGCTAAATTCTAGTATGATAACAAAAACAACAGGGAAAGCCTCAAACTTCCTGTAAAACACTGAAGAAACATGTAAACACTAAAGGAATTATTAAACAATTTGAGAATCAAGTAATGACACTGGCACCCAGGAATGGGTATTCCTGTGTTCTCCCAAAGATGAACTTTTTGCACGCTGGCTGAGATCACAACAATCATCCCCTCAGTCAACATTACAAGGAGTAACCGGCAGTCCAAGGGCTCACCTCTAGCTAAGTTAGAAAATTAATCTCTAAAATTTTAAAGGTAAATTTCATCAGACACATTACTTTGATTACTTGAGCAGTGTAATTCAACAGCAAAGAAAGAATTTTGAGCTTTAGGCAAATCTTACTGCAATACCATATCAGAAAACTCAGCATCTGGCAAAATTCTATTACCAACTTGTACTGAAGAACACAATCCAACATAAAGAGCAGAGAAAGCAGAAGACACATGGCAAAAGTTTGATTTCCATTTATTTCCACATTACAGTAGCAGCAGAATTTTTTGATTTTGTGGAAGTTTTTTTTCCTTGTTGTTAATTTGTTGGTTTTTTTGGTTTTTTTATAGTTGCTATAATTTGGGTTTTGTGTTTTGTTTTCTTTTTTTGTTGGATTTTTTTTTAATTATGTTCTGTTGGGTTTTTTCTTAGGATTTCTAAATTCTAAAAAATTCTTTATTATCACAATCATGCAAAGCACACAGATGTGCCTGAAACATGAAAGTCTGTATGCTTGGAATCCCATCATGTTCTTGAAAGTGCTCTGGAGTCCTTCATGAGTAAAATGTTGGGGTATGAGCATTGACATTTACATGACAAGTAAAACAAAATATTCCAGAATATAAAATCACCTAGAATGTTATCAACAGAAGACGGAAAACACTTGATTTTTTTAAAACAACATAGTAAGAAAATTTTGTAAAAATCCCAAGTTTTTTTTTTATAAACTAAGTTAGAAAACATTACACATTTTTTAATAGTGCTAGACTGCCCTAAGTATCCTAAGTAAAGAATGCCTTCGAAAAATAGTCTAGAGTGAGAAGACACATACTGCATATTGAGATAGCTATTACTTTTAAGAGGTAGATGACAATATTAATCTATCATTTGGGGAAGACAGCCCTAGAACTTACAGGTAAATAGCATTAAATATTATCTATACAGCATCCCGTATGCAATTATCTATACAATATCCGTATGCAAGAATGCAAAGAGGAGGAACACTGCCTCTCACCTAACAGCAACTACATTCAGTTCCTTGGCCTGCATCATCAGCTCTCCTGAAAATGCAGGCGGGAGGAAGAAGGGATTAGAAAGGTGAGGAAGAAAAAATAAAATCAATCCTATTTGTGTATGCAGGCAAATAACAGGCAGAATACACCATCCAGACTGCAGTGAGAGCGACTGAGCTCACGGCACAATCCTCAGGACAGCATGACAAGATTGAGTGGAAACAGCAGAAGCCTGCAGAGGCAGTCAGACTCATTGCCTAAGGTGTTTATGAAGGTGCTTCACTGCTGGAAAAGCATTTCTGATCCTATTCACCATGTCCATCAGATTCTCGGTTACCATTAAGAGGAAAAAGCAGTAAGTAATAGCAGCACTGATGGACAGGCTTTGTCACAGTCAGGATCAGAGTATGTTTTTAACTTGCCACCACCTGTAAAATGTTAGCTGTTACTAAAAGCGTCCATCTCAGACAGTGTTAAAAGCACAGCTCAGTACAAAAACGGGATCACAATTTTTCTGTCCTTTGGGTAGTCTTCAAATTTCTCAAGGTACCATCTGTAAAAGAAAGACAGAAATCTGATGAATATTTAGTCTTCCAAATGCTGTTGATGAAATTAAGTGATTGTACAATGTGTTCAATTTAATCCATATATTTTCTCTCTACAAACAAAAAAAATGCCTTTAGACCTACTCTGGATATAAAAATGGCATTTACTGCACTCATCCTAACAACATCTGATCATCAACTACAACAAAACTTAAGTTGTTCTGCCAGCAATGGGAAATCAAACCAACAGATGTGGTGAGAGCAGTCAGGGAAGGAATAGCCTATTCTTTCAAAATGTATGTTGTTATGCATCCTGAGTATCTGCATTTCAGAAGCAGAGGGGGAAGAAATTAAACTAAAACCATGTAATTGCCTAACAACGTCACACAGAACCAAGGATTACTTCACATACTAGAATGAGAGTCCCATTCTGCATAGAAACATCTTCAGTCCCAAAGGATTTGGATAACCAAACTGAACATGACAAACACTACACTAGGCTTATTGCTAATACCTCTCAAGGACATCAGTATTTTCAAATCCAGACAATTAACAAAGAAGAAATACATAGAACTATTAACTATTATTTGTCTTTTTGCCTTATATAACAAACACGTTTACTCCCATTTTCAAATACTCATTCTCTGCTTCTCTGAAATAAAGGAATTAACTTCACCTGGGGTTCTCAGAGGTGCAGATATTCACATTATCAACAGTCAACTGCAAGATCAAAGCTGGAATAAGCAGAGGACAAAACATGCAATGCACAGTAACCTGCAGCTGTGGAATACCATCATTACGCTATTTTTCCATTTCAATAATTTATTCCAAGTTTTTTAAACTAAACAGACTACACTAAAATGTTTCTTCAGTTACATGGATTTGTTATTTTTTAGTTGTTTGGGGTTTTCTTCTTGCACTCCTCTTCCATTTTTATGCTTTTTTTTCCATTAGTGCAAATTACTTCCTTTACAACATTTAGCTTTTCCTAATGGTCTGAAAGAGTGCCATCAAGGCTTAGGATTGATGGAAACCAACCACGGAATTTGAACCTGAAGAACATAATATACAAAGAGAGGCTGAGGAACCTGGCATTGCTTAGCCTGGCAAGGAGGAGACTAGGGACCCTGTTATGGCTACCTACAGGTGCTGCCTACAGGTCACGGAAGGTGAATTTCTTAGGACAATGGAGCAAAGTTATGACTGAAATGCCAACTCTTGCAGCTGGAATGCAGTGGCCCCAAGCAGAAGTGCAGGGTGGAAGCTACCTGGCTAGATAGCAGTTCTGCACAAAGGGACATGGACATCCTGGTGGACAAGTTAAGGATGAGTCAGTAATGGATCCCTGCAATGATGAAGGTTGAGTGCACATTGGCCTGCCTTAACAAGTACAGAGCCACCAAGTCAAAGGAAGGACTTATTCTCTTTACCATTTAGCAGCTGAGAGCATGCATCTGCATTATTGCCTCCAGTTTTTGGCTTCCTGTGCAATAGAGATATCCACAAACTGGAGAAGAATTCAGCAGATGGTAAGACAACTACATAGCTGGAACATATGAGACATTCAGAGAACTAGGTTCGTTCAGCCTAGAAAAGAAGCAAAGAGGCACACCTAATTGCAATCTTCTATCACCTATTGTGACACTAAAGAGAAGGCAGAGCCATACCTTTCCTGGAGGCACACAGCAAGTGCACCAGGAGATAAAGGTTGCAACATGGAATATTCCAACTGGTCATAATGAAAAACCCTCTTCCCCATGAGAATGAGGAAAATCCTGTTTCAGCACTGTGCCAGAGATGTGCTGAAGCCTCCACCCTTGTAGACACTCAGAACTCAACTGGATGAGGCCCTGGGCAAAAGGGTGGTTGTAGGTCACACCAGCTGACTGGACAACCTTCAGACACTCCTCCTCGCCCAAGATACTCTGCAACTCTGCTCATTAATAGCAGGTGATAAAATAAGAAAGGATGGTCAAGAGGGGACAGGTCAGGAAGGTTCAGGTTGGACAGCAGAAAAAATTTGTTCACTTGGAGAGTAATACAGACCCGGAACACTCTACAAACAAGGTGCATGAAAATCTCAGTTTCTGGAAGCTTTCAGGACTCCACTAGACATACCCATGGCTGCCCCCACAGATAGTCAGCAATGGCATTTTTTTCAACCTATTTCCCTCCATATATTCAGGCTTATTTCCTGTTAAGCCACTAAGTTTCAGCATGAGAACCAAAGCAGGAAGCTGAAAATGATCCAAAATAAAATTAAAACATGTTCAAATTCCTTTAAACATGCCATTCCTTAAAGAGAATCAAGAAACTACTCTCCACAAACTATGGTCCTTTAACAGGAAAGCCACATTATGAATACAGTACATTAGCAGTCACACTGTTTAATTAGAGCAGAGACTTTATTATTATCTACCAGAACTGTTTTCATACTGTCCATTCACTTGATTATAGACAATATGATAGAGACTTAGCTATAAAGCGTGCCTATTAAAGACTACTTTAGAGTGATTTTCAGAATTTTAATATTGTAGAAACCAGTTAAAGCAGCAAAGGAAAATAGAGTATATGATCATTTAAGACAATACTGCCAAATCTGTCTGTAATCTTTACAGATCCAGGATGAACTACCTTCATTTAAACATTATTTTGACCACTTCATTGTACATTGTATGCGTTTATGCTCAGTACTATTCTGCTGAAATTCTGCAGTGCTTATTCTTCTCAGAGTATTCTCTATTATATTCTCCCTTGCAGCAGCAGCAGCCTCTTTCACAAGACTTGCTCTGCAACATTGCTATGGGATGATGCATGATTTGTGAAATGTAAATGCAGTGTGGCAGAGACAACAGAAATTATAAGACACAAACCACTTACTGATGGTGCTGCCTTGCCCTTGAACCCAAGATGAAAAGGGTACACAATGCAAATGCAAGGCTTTCCATGGTGCAGCAGGCAAGGGCAAACCCAAACCATTCCAAGATCTCTCCAAAAAAGTTGGCTCCACTGACATACTCAAACATTCCTCCTGAAAGTAGGACAGAGTTATTTCAAAAGCACTTTAATCAAGATGTCCAGTGCTATCTTTTACTGTACATCAAATAAGAGCTACATCACCAATGTCTCTATATAATTTTAAAGGCAGTGGAAGCAGTATTTTTAAGTTCAAGCTGTACTATGAAGCATCACTTAAGGCCTCTAAGACAGACCTTCTCCAGCTCCATTTTTCCTCTTAAAATAATGAAAGAAAAGCAGATTTTCTAGTATCAAAAGCAAGTACATGTCTTTGTAAATAGTTACTTAACAATAATATCAAATTATCTCTTTGATCATAAACTAAACCTTTTTTATAATATGTAAAAATAGAGGACATGCTCACCTTGAGTCTCAGAAAATACTCATAGAGTTAGTTAGCCTACAATGTTTCATTTCTTTAAGTACTTCAGAAATTAAGTTACTTATGAACAATACTATTATTATTATGAAGTAAAGTCCCAAATTTATTCTCTAGCTTAAAATATGTTGCTCTTTTGTTTCCATTCCTCATGAGGCTGACTGCTTCAGCCCCGATACTCAGTGACAAAAGTAATTGGCAGTCCACATTAAATCTGTTGTACAGGTAATTATGCATAAAGAATCGGTACTCACCTGCCAGAAAATTTTATAAACTAAGAACTTTCACCCTAATTCCAAAGTCAATGTACAAACTGATAACATCTCAGTATGTGTTTTACCAGAGGGACTATTCAAACAAGTGTTTGGCAACTGTAATAAAGGACATATTTTGACCTTGTTTTAATTGCTCTACTCTTTTGACAAAAGGGAGATAAAATTCTAGCACTTAAACTGGATAAACAGCACCAAAAAGACCAGCTCCTCCTGATCTTGCAGCAAATGACATCTTATTTCCTTTAGAATCTTTTTGTGCACTGAACACAGTACAGTATGTTCATATTCATATTTTACATGAGCACTTGGATTTACAGCTATTAAAATTATAACTTACCTTCTGGGTGAAAAACAGTCTACTGCCTTATGTATCTTAATATTCCAGTTATATTAAAAAACCCCCCTTAACAACCAAGAAAAAGCAACAACTAAAAAAAAAGGCAAAACAAGTTCAGAGGTAGTATTATTTTTCTTCTCTCAGTGCTTGTAATGTACCTGAAAGAGTCTAATGTTTCCAAAAACATCAATAACCTTTAACACTCCAATAGGCTCCATAGGAAAACCTTTCATATTCTCCATTTTCCCATGAAGGCCAGAATTCATAATGCCCTACTTTGTTTGGATTTCTGTCCTCTTTTTACTGTGTGTCCCTTTCGATAGCAGTTGCTGCTCTCTGATTACGTGAGGTGCTTCCCTCTTCATACATGGGACATCAGATGGGCCAGCCATTGACTACTTTCTGCATTCCCCTCCTGCCCCCACACTGGGTTGATAATTTAGGTCTTCTTTCTCCACCCTCCTGTTGATTCTCAGAAAAGTTGTGGAATGATGTGACATTTTTACCCCTTTTGAAAAACACAGCCAAAGTTGGTTTAAGAAATCCAAAGAGTTGCACAAGCTAAGTGATATCATGAAACAGATTGCTTACAATACTTGGCTTAAGAGGAAAAAAATAAAGTGAGCCTTTTCTTCAGTCCCAGCTTTCTTTACCACTTCTCAAATGAGATATACTGCTTTTGCTATATTAATCTCTGTACCATTTTTTCACTTACCTCTTGGTATCTTGTAACCAGTTTCCCCTGGTTTTCTCAGATTTCTGAGAATATGATCAGAATGAATATTGATTGCCATGCCGAGCAACCACCCTATAAAACCTGAAAAGAAATATTGAAAGTACATCTTCAGTACACCGAGTGAAAGCACTCATTCAGAAAAACTATGGTCATGGATCACATGTAGGCATATCAGCTTAAAGCAGCAGTAATGTAAGCAGTATAAACAATTCTGGAGACAGACTGAGCTTTTCAGTTAGCAGAGCTCACAGTAATCAAGAGCTCCCTATACATGAAATAGTACCACAAATATGAAGCTTATTCTTATGTTGGTAGACATATATAAATGTATGCACAGGCACATATGCAGATATCATGTAATTCCTTAACTTTCACACAGAAAAACAAATACACTAAAATTTTAAACCCTGAAACAAACAGCCATTCTCATTCTTCCCAGAGGGACACATTTTAGCCTCACTCTCCTTTTCTATTTTTACTGATAACATACTAGAATTTCCACAACAGAATTTTGTGCAAAAGGAATAAAACAATGAAGGAGTTAATATACGATTTACTTGTGTCATTCAGCAAAATGGTTTAGCCATTTGCACCAGGCTTTCATAGAAACTGAGACTGTTGTCACATTCTGCATCCTTATGTCTTGTTGCCATAACTATGGGATAAATCAAAAGGAATTTTGGACTGAAATTCATGATTTTCACCCTTCGGCAACGTTATCTATGCTATCTTCCTTTGAAGGCAGCCTTCCTTGCTACTAGGAGCAGACAAGATTTGGGATTTGAAGATAGATCCATTGTGTTGTTTTGAAGCCACCTCCAAAGTTATCAGTTTTACTTAAATTACCAAGAATATGCCAGTGATGTTCTTCTAGGACAAAGCCACTTCACACGCCAGATAAAGAAACCTTTGCCTTTTTACACACATAACTTGAGTCTTTCAGGTGGCTCTTTTTCAATATAGAGAAATCCAGGAGTGTGATCATCTCAACAAAAGCACTAACTGTAAGTCCAAATATATAAGGCCACACTTCAAGACTGGTAGGTTGTCAGAGCACACTATACCAAGACTTAAGCTACCTTTCCCAGCATGTTTGTTAACATTTTCTTTATACAGCACAGCAAGTTTCCATTAGCAATCCAGGTGTGCAGATGCTATATGTAAAGTGCCTTTTGTAGTAAAATTTTACTGATCAACTCTATAGTTGATGTAAATACATCATCATGACATAGATTAGATATACTATATTTTAGTATTAGATATACTACAGTTTATACCATATATCTATAATACTATGATTTGTTATACATTAGATATACTATAATTTTGGTGAATGTTTCCAGTGCATTCTGTATGGACATCTGTTTATAAATTAGTATATGAACTCTTCAGATAACGCAGAAAGGCTGGAGCTTGCTTTAAGAATGCCAAATTACTACAGAAGACGAGTTTGATCCTGTGCACTTTTACCCCTCTGACTCGAAAGCTGCAAAACGGCAGAAGGAAACAATCACATCTCTTTGTGGACAACACACTGATAAATGTAGGCGATTTTTATAACACACCTCTTCAATTTCAAGATCCCCTTTCCTCTAAGGCACTGCATAACCATGTTCCCTGCACCCATACTCTGTGGGCAATCACTGAACATGCCAAGTTGGAAGGGACATACAAGGATCATCAAGCCCAAATCTCAGGCCTGCACACAGGACCATCCCCAAGAGTTACACCATGTGCCTGAGGGTATTGTCCAAACTTCTTGAGCTGTCAGGCTTGGAGCTCTTCCCCTGTCCTAATCTTCAGACTCACACCATGGCAGTCTTACGACTCTACAAAGCCAAGAGCTGGTTCTGCCCTACAATCCGCATGACTTGACTACCAGCAGAGGGAAACATGGACATGTAAACAGGAAGGGAGCCACTGAATACTACATCAGATTTTCAGATCCACAGGATGCACCACACAACACAGATGATCTCATGAGACTATTAAGAGGCTTTTTCCTTTATCAGGATAAACCTGGAGATGAAGGTTTGTGCACATACCAGGTGAACATTTGGACAAGGATGACAGTAACTAGGTCTAACTAACGGACAACCTGGTGTAACAAGAGAGCACGTGTGTGTTGTTGCACCGGTGCCCTCTCTACCCTTGCCCATGTAGAATTTCACACAAGAAGACCTACTGCTGTTCTGCAGGCTATTCCAGAGTGACAGGAGGGTAGCTGCTGTCTGGCTCACCTTCCCTTTCCAGATTTCAAGAATACGCAGTGCAAGATGCTGTACAGACACATCAGGAGGCCTGTTTCTGCAGCTGGACTGAGAATGTCAAATAAACATTTCATGTGAACCAGTGCCTCATCTCAGACTCTGTGGTTAGCTTCCAAGAACACAAGTGATTATCTGGAATATCTAGATGCATGTAGATATTAGCAGAGATACAGGCAAATCTACATCCCTGGGCTATGAGATAATATCTAGACATCACTCAATTACAAAATCATACCCAGATAAGGACAACGCACAGGCGCTCTTCATGTCTGTTCTGTGACAAGAGCAGAAGTGGCACATGTGCTTGGTTGCCTGACTGCCAGAGAAAAAGCTTCATGCAACAGATGAGGTTCAGTCCCTTGCACCTTCTGAGTTACAAGTGCTGCTCTGCTTTGCAGAACTGCTACTGAGGGAAGTTTCTGATGTACAGAAGAGTTAACCATCAACATTCAAAGGAGGTAGTTGAATGGGGATTTAAAGGAGTAAGAAAAGACACATGGCATACTGCAAAGAGTTTAAAGATGTTAAAGCAAGCAAAGGAAGGAACGAGTTTCCAGAGAGAAGTGCAGACAGATTAGGAAAGAACATCAGGGTGAAGCACACAGGTATATGTGTCCTTTTTTGTAGCATTCACAGCTTCAGGGTATCATGGGCTGTCTTGGTAAGTTCACAAGCTGTTTGTTGGCACACGTGTAAGGTACATGCTGAAATATTATGAAGTTGTTTCCACATAGGTTTGCAAGCTCATGGTGCTGCATCTGAAGCAAAACATTCCCATTTCCTCTGAAAACAGTTGTGTTCACTGCTCTGAACTAAACCAACACACAGTCCAGAGAAACCGTGAGGGAATCACAGCAAAAGTATATTCCTGATCCAAATCAATTGCTGGTGTAGATACAAGCTATTGCATTCCCAGAGTTAACCACGAAATGCCTGAAAACAGGGAAACTGTAATAAGGCTCCAGACAGAACACAGCAGTTGTTTGAAACTTCTCATCATGACAGTTAATCAGCCTGACTTCTCCACATTTCAGTCTTCACTCCAAATTTATCTCATTTCAGCTTCCGACTGTTGAACCATGGTTGGCTGCTACTTTTAGACCCTCTCTCATTTATCTTCCACATATAACTCCACACAGCTTAAGAAATATCTTGCTAGCCCTCAGCAGATATGCTTTCTTGCTGTTGTTTGCTAATATTCTAGTAACTTTTTCTAGTAACTTTAAATGGAGGCTTAAGGACACTGCCAGATGTTTTTGAAGAACTAGAACATAATAGTCTACTTGTTCAGGGAGTACAGCCCCTTGGCATTTGAGTTGACCAAAACCACAAGCATAAACTGCAGATATTTCAAGGTACCCAGCTGGGATGAATACCAAATAGCCATTATAAATTGCTAAGATCCAATTATATTAATATGTAGTACAAAACAAAAAAACCCAAAAGATACTCTAATTACAGGAATAAAATAAAAAACACGTCTTCAGTTTGGCTGTTTCACAGCTATGTCAAGTTTTATATAAAAATTTATTGTACTAACAGTGTCAAAAAAGTCAGCTGTAGTCATACTGTGAAAATGGTTGCTATGTGTACCAGGAATTTTGGCTTTCTTAGTTTTTAGGATAACTTAGTTTTCAGGATTGCTTTTTATTATAATTCAAAATATTTCTTTAATCACAAAAACAATACTTTATTTAACAGTACTAGAAACATATATAAGCATATATTCCAGATTAGCATTACTTGCAAAAAAAAAAAGCAAACAATCAAAATAAAACCACAATAAACCCCCCACAAATACAAGTCAAACTAATTCATACACAGAAGCATTCATAATTGAAGGCAGAGGAACCTAACTATTATCATTTATTCATTTGCATCTTTCAGAAATCCTTGATAAACTCAAAAACATAAACCAAGGAAACCTATTAACTTCATTTTTTTAAGATCTTTCAGTAAAGAAGAATTGATTTATGGCTCCTTAATCATGATTTGTTCACAGCACTGTATTAAGATATCTTTTTATTAATGTACTAAACTAGGCATCAGAGCCTTTAACAGTTTTGGTGAACAGATCTTTTAACCAATTTTTTTGCTGGGTCCCAGTTTACGGAAACTGGAAATCTGAAACTATCAAGAGAATTTCAAGTATATCCACGTGCCTAGCACTCACTGAAGTTATTCCGTTGTACCTCAATTTCTCCATTTTTAGTGCACAAGCAGTACTGCCTCCTAACCTTGGCAAGAGGACCTCCTTTACGTTTCTTCAATCTTATAGTCATTACAGCATTTAGCACAGTGGTCCTCCACTTTTATCCACAACAACACTGTAATAAGGAAAAAACTTTCTTTTTCTTATTATGAAAGGCTTGAGAAGTTCTGGAGAAACGCTAACTTGCTCTGGTTACAGAACAAAACCAAGAAGGGCACTTGTTTAGATCAAGCACAGCCCAGTCTTCCACCTTTGACTGATGAGACAAAATATTCTGATTTATCTTCACATGAAAGAGATTTTTTTTGTAAAGATTTCATTAGAAAATGATACTATGATTTTCATGGTCAACAAAAGTAGACACCTAGGAAACAAAAAAATAGGGTGACAGTATTTTGTCACTAAGCATCGTAGCCTTTTCATCACATCCATGACTTCAACCATAAATTAATGTACTCCCTTCCAGATTGCAAGTGAATGATCAACCCCTCCACCCACTTCCTTGGGGGCCAGTTTCATCCTTTGATAAAGCTCACCCCTATTACAAGGGCGGATGTGCTGATGCATGCGTGTGTATCACATGTAAATATCCTCACACCAAGGTCTTTGGTATTAGCCGTGGTATCTTGGTAGTTAGCAATTACCCTTGCTAGATCTTTACTCCATGAGTTTGTTTACTTCAGTTTGATCTACATGTCACACAGAAAAACTGCTTTGTTTGTTCTAAATATGCATGCTCCTGGTTCCATGTGAGGCTTCAAGTTTCTACGTTGAAAAAAATACATGACAATATTTACTTTGGTGCTAAAGAGTAAAGATGACAGTCAGCTCACCTAGCACTGATATTGTGGAAAGAAATGTCAGTTCACAGCTCTAAAGTAAAAAAAAAGTTAAAAGGCTTCCAGATAGACCAATAAGAGAAATACCTATGAGAATACTAACAAAACGGCATTGAAGATACGATAAAATTACAATAACAAGCTGTGAGGACAAAGGCAAATTACACCTTAAGTTCTCATAACATTATTTGACTTACCCGTAATGAAGCATGGACCTTTCAACCAGCCCGGAGGGTACGTTGCATAGTTGCTTAAGCTTCGGCCCTGCAAGTATCCATTGAAAACACAGAACAGAAGTGCTAACACAAAAGTGAAAAATGGTGTTGGTTTTCCTTCACGGATCAGAAGAGGAAATATGAGTGCCCTATGACAAACAAGGAACGAAAATTTATTGTATTAACAAACAAAAGAGAGAGTTTTGAAGTAAAAAACCTGTAATCCATAGTCCACACTATCCTACTTTCCAAATTCTAAGCATTAGAGGTTTTGGCCCCTGTTTTGAAGGACAGGTGCACTTGGTTTAACACCTAAACATTCATTTTGTTGCCTAACTGGAATTACAAGATCAGTCCTCTCTCCCTGTATGACAGAAATTTTGAACTTCCTTTTGAACTATCCAAGGCAATTACTTTGAAAGGAGTAAATGTAACTAATGTTAAGTACAGACTATTTTTATCCTCCTCTGTTCCTAAATCCTCAGTACTATCATCAAGCTTTCTGAAATGAGCCAATTCTCATGATCCCTGCACCAAATCCCCCAGTGCTTCTGGGGGGGAGGAAGGTCAATGCCCTTAAAATTAACCTAATTGAGCTCAGTTTCCTTCCTACCTTAAAAGTCACTCTAAAACCTTAATTGCTTCACCTCGACAATTTTGGTCTACCCTATGACACCTGCTAAACACATGACAAACCCACAATTGCCATCCCATTTGGGAAAGGAATCTTGATTGCTTTTCCTGGGGGATTATGGGAATAAACCAACAAGCTCTAAATAAGATCAGGGGAATGTTCTTGTGATCTTTCTGGTGCAACTAGCCAACTCCCAATTGCCTATTGATTTAATTACAATCTGTAGGGATACAGGACCAGGATTACTGAAGCGTGAGCATTCTTCTCGTGTTTTCCATCTACCCAAGGACTAGTGCGTCAAAGTAGTCTTTCCAAAGAAAGCACAACCATAACAGCTTCCAAAAAAGAGTAACAAATTAATTAATAGGATTATTTAAAGCATACTACATTATAACAAAAGGAAATAGATAAGAGAGGTCTCTTCCAGTCTGCACTCACCTACAGAAGAATCCCTCAGTCTGGCAATTGCAACAAGCAACTGGAAAAAAACTGCAGCACAGCTCAGCTTGCTCTACAAACCTTTGTCTCATGTTCCTAGCTATTTCCAGATATCGAGGATGAGTTAAGATTCCTTGAGAAAGCTAATACCTTTATTCTTAAGAATGAAAAAAAGGAATAAAGACACAGTCCTCGGTTTTCAAAACCAGCCACCAGCCCAATTGTATTGCATTCTTCTCCACTGTGAGGATGTGGAATGCTTTCAGTCAAAAGCACCAGCCTCTCTCATTCAGCACCGGAAAACAACAGCGTATCAGCCACACATGGAGCTTAACATGACGTGATAAATCTATTGCTCCTCTATTAGCATTGTGGCAAAATTGCGTGTAGAGTATGACCAGTAGATATCGTCCGTAACTTGAAGTCAATGGCAAAACCCTACCTGAGCTCCAGCTAAGCTGCCTTCTCCAAGAACTTTTTTACTAAAGACCCAAGTTGACTATAGGACAATACAGAGCATGAACGGCCTTTGCTAGTGTTTCAATGAATCACTGAATATCCCGAGCTGGAGAAAACCCTCATCCAGCCCAACTCCTTCAACGAACACTATGCTGAAAGACCACGTTAAGGAACGTTAACAGGAAACAGCCACTGTTTCACAACACTGAACTTATATGACTACACAGTGCTGAACTTCCCCTGTTTTCAACACTAGGTCCCTTCAGACAGCCTGATCAAGCCCTTTGCTGACACGGGGGTCGCTACCCGAGGTACGGCCGCAGCGCAGGGATGGAGGGGCTGCCGCGGGAGCACCGAACACGGCAGGCGGCACCGCTCCGACACGGCTTCGCGCCCGGCTCCCGCCACAGCGCACCACACCCCAACGCAGCGAACCCCGAGAGACTTAGCGACTGCGATATTAAGTAACGAGCGCTAATTAACCGGAGTACCTCGGTCTGGAAGTGGCAACCAGGCGCTCCTATGAAGACCGATTCCCTCTCCCGCCCCGGCGGCACCGCAAGGAGCCCCCGCCCCGCCCGCACCTGTGCGTGTAGTGCAGGACGAAGCAGCCCAGCAGGACACGGTTGGCCCGGGCGGCGATGGCCTCCCCACCGCAGGCGGCGAGCCCGATTGGGACGAGGAGGGAGGGCAGCTCCTGCAGCGCCCAGGCAGCGCGGGCGGGCAGCAGCCAGCCGAAGCGCCGCGTGGAGTACCGGCCGTAGGGCATGGGGATGAAGCAGAGCAGCAGGGCGGAGACGGCGCCCAGCGCTATTAGCCCGTAGGAGAAGAGCTCCAGCAGCCGACGCTCCTCGGGGCCCTCCACCCTGTGCCAGAAGCCGCAAAGGCCATCGCGACCCGCGCCCGCCGCCATCGTCGCCTCCACCTGCACCGAACCCCATCGCCCCCCGCCGCCCCTACTCATCGCCCGCTCGGCGCCCCGCCCACCGGGCACAGCGGGCCAATCGGCGCCAGGGGGCGTGGCCCGAGCGGCTCGCCTGTTGGTGGGCGGGGCGGGCCGCGCGCTCGGCTTCTCGGGAAGTTCCGCCGGGAAGGGGCTTCGGGAAGGAGCGGGCGTGTCCGCGCGTGCGCCCCGGAGGCGCGAGCACGCGGCGCGCGGCAGCCGCGCCGTCAGTCCGGCCCAGCGGGAGCGGAGCGGGAGCGGCCGGGGCCGGGGCCGGGGCCGGGGCCGGGGCCGGGGCCGGGGCCGGGGCCGGGGCCGGGGCCGGGGCCGCCCTTCCTTCCCCACGGCAGGGCTGCTGTCGCGGCTCGGCCGCCGCCTGGCCGCCATGGGCCGGCGGGCGCGGGACCGCCGGCGACAGCAGCAGCATCCGCGGCAGGAGCGGGGCGGCGGCGGCGGCGCCGGGGACCAGGCGGTGAGAGCCGGGCCGGGGCGGGCGGGGAGCGGAGCGGAGCGGTGGCGGGGGTGGGGGCAGCGAGCTGACGGCGGTGCCGTGTTCCTTCAGGGCTGGACCGGCGGCTACCCCGAGATCGTGAAGGAGAACGAGCTGTTCGAGCGGTACTACCGGGAGCTGGGCATCGTGCCCGCCGGCGAGTGGGACGCGTTCATGGCGGCGCTGCGGGAGCCGCTGCCCGCCACGCTGCGCATCACGGGCTACCGCAGGTAGGGCTGGGGCCGCTGCCCTGGGCACCTGCCCCGGGCACCGCGGGGGCGGGATGCTGGCCGGGACAAGGGATGTCTGAGCCACCTGCTCTACTGGGGGGGCTGGAACTGGGTGATCCCTAAGGTCACTTCCAATGTAAACCATCCCGTGGTTCTGTGATTCTCCATCCGGTGTCCCTGTGCACGCCTGTCGCATGCAGCCACGCCAAAGAGATTCTCCACTGCTTGAAGGAAAAATACTTCAAGGAGCTGCAGGACCTGGAGGTGGATGGTCAAAAAGTCGAGATGCCACAGGCGCTGAGCTGGTGAGTGGTCTGAAGGCAAGTTAAGGCACCCTGCCTGTTCCCGACATCCAGCATGGTGTGTCGGTCTCCTTCTGCTTCTGCCCTTTTCCCCTCTCTTTTCTCCCAGGTATCCAGAAGAGTTAGCCTGGCACACTAACTTGAGTAGAAAAATCTTACGCAAGTCCCCACAACTGGAAAAGTTTCATCAGTTTCTGGTTAGCGAGACAGAGTGTGTAAGTTTTGGATAGATCTTGGTTTTTTACTTTCATGTCCTGAGCAGTGCTTTATTGAAATACGTTATGAGAGAGTGAGACTGTACCTTTTTTCTCAAGAGTTGAATAACTCAGAAGAATCTGGATTTTATGTTGCTGTTGACTGTGATTCATCCCACAACTCTTGGCACATAACCACAGCTACAAATACTTTTCTTAAACTAGTTGCATTTTTTTGTTGTTGTTTGGGGATGCTAAAATGAGTGTCTGTAAAATAATTAGTTGCTGTTAGAAGCCAGATATTTAAATCCGGTAAAAAGTGCACGTGTGTGCATGACAAGACTTAGCTCAAGCGATTTGTCACCTGGTTGAAGCCAGTTTCTCATCTCTTGAGCAGAAACTGTGACTGTAGAATTAATGCAATTGGAATAAGTATGCAATTGTCAGAAGTTACACTTGTGTGAATACTGTGATTTCTTTTTTTGGTTACATTTGAACAAAATTTAAACCTAGATTTATAGTAGTGTGTTTCTGACTGCTTTCGTATTTTACTACATAGTGATTTAAAAATTTTGTTGCAAAAGAAATGCATTGTTTTGTGAATAAAACCAAATTTAATTTCTTTTTTATTTTTAAGGGAAATATCAGTCGTCAAGAGGCTGTTAGTATGATCCCACCTCTGCTGCTTAACGTTAGCCCTCATCATAAGGTAACTCTATAATATAATGTGTACTAAAACTTTTTCCCTGAAGTTAGTTTGATTAAACTGCACATCACAACAGCAGTATCAATACTGATGCGCAGTTCTGTTTTGTGTTGGTATGTTTTATGCTTTCTGCACATCAACAGTAACACTCAACCAGTGTTCATATCACAAACACACTCAGAGGAACATCTGCTATTTAGCTGTATGTAGTACCCTGTAAGAAACACTTAGATTTTAATAGTTGCATAGTCTTATTTTCAAAGTGTAAATGTGTTCAGCTGCATTTGAGTTATGTATTCATGCTTCAACCTGCTTTTAAAGTAAGATGACTGTTTTTAACTTCCTGCTCTCCATCACACTGTGAACCAGATGTAGTTTTCCAGATCCAAATGATAATGTTCTCTACCGGGTAGATTTCGCTCCTCTATGCCTTTTGAAGAAGTTTTAAATTTCTGCTCTGTAAATTTGTCAGGCAAAATAATTTAGGTGAATTGAAACACAGTACTGGTGATGGCTAAACACTATAGGGTGCTAATTTTATTGGAGGTGTCTAAGGAATGCCCATGATATTTTCCTATAGCAGACTGTAGGAATGGGGATATCTGGTAGCAAACTTTCTGTTCTAACATCTGGGATGTTTAAATACTATATGCTTGCTTGCAGACTAAATCTGTCAGGTGGCTTTATTCTCTTGATCTGTTAAATTAATAAGCTAGTTATTTTGTTACCTTAAGCTGTCATATTGTGTTCTTTCTTAAATTTTCATGATGTATCTTAAAATTTTAAGTTTTTCAAACTTCTGACGTATTTTATAGCCTAGTCTGTAATTTATATTAACATTACCTAGCATACGTAACATACCACTTTATCTTCTACCTTCACCCCAACCCAATGTATGACACAGAACTGATGTGAATCAAGGTCTTCTCATCTCTCTTAAGTGAACAATGAATTGAAAGACTTAGTCCTGATGTGTCACAGGTGCATTTTCAGTTTTGTCTGGAGTTGAACAGGTAGTGAACACATTCAACTTAATGTAAAACACAAACTGTGGGAGTATTTTTGCACACGCCTTGTATATGCTAAACTAGCGGTATAGGGGTTTTACACTGAATGTTTAACTTGGGTGACTGTATTTCAGCAGGCATTTTCCAGAAATCAGTGGAAGATTTCACAGATTTGCTCATAAATCAGGCTTAGAATAGGTTCTTTATCCTGTCATGTGCCAAGAGAACAAATAACTGCTGTAATGATGACAGCAACTGTTATCATTTAGGACCTTTTCTGGTCCTTATTGTCTTAGCTTCTGAACTGCTTGTTATGACCAGAACTGCACGTTACTTTTCATGTTTAACTAGCATGTCCTGTACATCATGTCTTGCTGATTCCATCTTGTACAAGGATCAACTTAGTGACTGTCAAGCCTCTCTGTATCTGTGTTCATTTTCAATCTGTTTTTCACAATTTAGTTTTCCTCACCGTCATTTTGCTGGCAAGTTCTAGAGGATGTTTAGCCTTGTATATTCTTCATTATCTTTTTGTATTACCTGCAGAACTAGAAAACAGTAGTGTCACAACTGTTACTTTAAAGAGCACGTTCAATGTTGTCTTCCTGAGTGTGTTTCACGATTTATTAGCACTTAACCACATGCTCTCTGGAGCTCTCTTTGCTTTTCTCTGGGGGCTGTCTTCTAGTTTAGTCTTGTTCATGCCAGGGGCTTGCATGAGGATCTGAGCAGATCCCTTCCCATCCTTTATCCTGTTGCATGATTTCAGCTAATTTTTGTTGGAGCCAAAGATCTGGGAGATAGATGTGTTTCTGATAATCTGTAACTAGACAAGAGGAAGGACTCTAGGCTTCCGTACTTAAGAGAACAGTATTAGATATCAATTGATTTGCTGTGAAAGTGACTATAAATGACTCGATCACAAGTTCCTGATGAACCAGGAAGGAGAAATACACTAGAATTTAGGTGTTCATGTCTGTTGATGTTGGTGCTGTTCTGTTCAGATGCCTCAGGGCAGTTCAAACACTTCCCAAGTGCGTCTTCAAGATATAGAAAGAAGAGATTGATGCTGCCCTGATTTTTTGCATTAAAATGCAAATGCGTGGGGAGGGTTGGCAGTTCATTTTTATAATATCTATATAATCAGCTGTCTCTGATTAATTTACTAATAGTTTAAAGAAAAGTACTACTTGCTCTTGATTATAACTTTGCTCTTAATATGTGTGTGTATATGTAAAGTACCAGTTAACTTCAGTTGGAATTGCTGGTAAAAGGACCATATCCCTATATCTGTATTCAGGTTCTTCTTTCAAATTCTATTTCATCTGGTGTATTTGTTCCCTAGAATGTAAAGTCCTTTTTATATTTTAGACTCTCAAAGGTAAAGCATTCAAAGATCAGGACTGTACTTTTTTTTTTTCTAATTGGTGGTCAGAACAATCAATTCTCTATGTGCAAAAATACTTAGTTTAAAAAAGAACACATAGTAAATTTCTTGAGTACTTGAAAAATACAAAGCAGGACTTTTTTTAACTTTCTGGTGTTTGTAGATTCTAGATATGTGTGCTGCACCTGGATCTAAGACTGCACAACTCATTGAAATGTTGCATGCTGACATGAATGTTCCTTTTCCCAGTAAGTCTGAAAAACTACTAAAAGCTTTTGTGACGTGGAATTTCTGCTTTTTCTTGTAGAAGATTATTTTTAATATTGCAGATGAGTAACTACATTTAACTACATATTGAATTTCCAGGGTGACTGAGCGATAACGATATGAAAGGTACCCCATCTTTGATTTGAAACTTCATGGGCTTCCTTGGCATGAAGGAGAAAGATTAATTACATATATATATATGTATGTATACATATATATGTATCTTTGCTGTGATTAGACATTAATTCTTATATATAAACAAAGTTTACGTAGTAGATGATGGCCCATGAGCCCCTGTGGTTTAGTCGTATTCTGCAAACACTGGATTAAGCTGCTTTAGATTTAAAGTAGTTCTGATATTTATCTTTTTTTTAAGTTTTGGAATCTTTACTCTTGGTTAGATGCTCACAGAAAATACTGTTCACAGAAATGTAAAGTTGTGGGAGTGTGTGGATTTTTTTCTGCATTCTACTGAAAATTTGCTTATGTAGAGCTTGGTGATAGTGGGGGTTTTCTCTGTTACAGGGGTTTTACTTTGAAAAGTTGAAGGGCCCTTGGCTGTGTCTTACTGCCACTAGATGGAAGCTAGAACTCTTGAGACTGTGACGCATAAGTTAAACTTCAAGATACCTTATTTTATACTCAGTAAGGGCACCTCTATTCACGAGCAGTCTTTTAAGTAAAAATCTCTAGTGAAAGGTTTATACAACTTTGAACATAAGGCAATAAACTATGTAAAATTACTTAGATGTTGAAGAGTAAAGCATCTTTCCGCTGTTTTATGTTCCCAGAGGGTTTCGTAATTGCTAATGATGTCGACAACAAGCGCTGCTATTTGCTGGTTCATCAGGCTAAGAGATTAAACAGTCCGTGCATCATGGTGGTAAATCATGATGCCTCCAGCATTCCTAACCTACAAATAGATGTTGATGGAAAAAAAGAGATCCTCTTCTATGACAGGATTTTATGTGACGTCCCCTGCAGGTATCTGGCATGTAAACTTGAATACATGGAAGGTTTTTTTGTGTGTTACCAAATCATGCTTTTTGAGTTGCTTAGGGAGTTACTATTTATAGTAACTTCCAAAACAGGTGAATGCCTTAAGTTGTCTTAGATGTGGGGATACGGAATCAAGGTGAACTTTTTTCATTCCAAATGGTCCTTAAATTTGGTCCGTTAAAGGGCTTCAAATTTTTAGCTTAAGCTCAGGATACTGAAATAAGAAGACAGTGAGGAAACAGAGTACAGTGTTAGAAAACTAGTTAATGTGAGAGAACTGTAAAAATTATCCTGCTATAAATGACTTGGATGTGAAAAGAGCTTTACACACAAATAATACAAATCTACTCCAACCTCTGTTGCAGCGGAGATGGAACCATGAGGAAAAACATTGATGTATGGAAGAAGTGGACAACACAAAACAGTTTGCAGCTCCATGGGTAAAAATGTTTATGACACATCTGCACTTCTTTCATTTCTCTCTCTTCCTTTTCCCATATCTTCAACATCTGCATGCTTTCACATGTTAATCTATGACAAAGCAGAGACTAAGAAGAGTCACTTTTCTCTCAAATCAAGAGACTATTCAGAGGAAGTGTAGGGTTCCAGATGTGAGTGGAGCATGTGAATCCAAATTGCTGGTATTCTTACGAATATCTGACATATTAATGTTCATTAAATTGATTTAGACAGGGTAGCTAATAAAACAGAAGAAATCATTTGGTTGGGATTCTTAGCATTGCAAATACTCTTGGAATATATAGTAACTTGTAAAATTTGCTAGTAATATTTTAAAGTCTTTAGGATATTAGAAATCATACATAAATGGTTTCAGTTACCTGAGATTGATTTATGTTAGCTGATGGTGAATGAGTAGTTATCCTAGTGCTGGCACATGATAAAATTCAGATTGAAACACAAATGAGAAATCTTAGAACATTTTACTGTGTATTTGTAATAAGCTGGGGGTGCCATTGGTTACTGCGACTCATCTAACCTATGACTACTTGGTAATTCATTCATAATTGCAGATTTTCTTGTAGTTTTAAGTGTGGAGGTACATCTAAGCTGGTCATCCAGCTCAAGGATACCTTTCTCAGAAGGCCATTGCTACCTAAGCTGTGTTGTCCATAATATTTGTAATAGTCAGATTACTGCTCATTTTAACTCTGGATTTCTGAGAAGAGTCATGTTGTGGGGTATTGTTTTTCTAGTGTTGAGTACTTTATAATAAACTTGATGGGGCACTAGAAAGAACAAAATATGGAATGTTACATTAAAAGCTACCCTGCATCAGTGTGTATGTTTGACCTAATTGCTGTTCTGATTTAATAGGTATAACAGTGAGTGTGTCTGCAGTATAGACTGCACTAAGCTGATACAGTTTGAAACTGACTTTAATTTGTGTACTGGTGACAGCTGTAGCTGTACTGGCTTAGTCCATGCAGAGTTGTGTGTCTGCAGTATAGCTTCTTTCGGGTTCCTGAATAACAGCTGGCTAGACCAAGAGTATTCTGTTAGATTGCAGCTGAGAATTGCAACCCGTGGTGTTGAACAGCTGGCAGAAGGTGGGAGAATGGTGTATTCTACGTGTTCATTGAATCCTATCGAAAATGAAGCTGTAATCGCATCTCTGCTGGAAAAAAGTCAAGGTGAGAATGTGAGTTTGGGTGGAATTGGGAAACTTTTTTTTTTTAATCTCAGCCCAAAAAAAGATACGTGTATGATGGTACTAGTAGTAAGCTTAGTGTGGGTAATACGCTTCTAGTTTGCAGAACTACATAAATTTTTCGGTACCAGTAGGATTTCATTAATGTTGCTATGAACAGTCTTCTGAAATGGGCCTAAATTGGCTGCAAATATAAAACCTTAAGTGTTGTGTGAATCAGTGGAATTCAGTCTCTGTTACCTGGCTTCTGCTAATTGACTCCACTGGTTGGAGTCCATTGTCTGACATTCCTAATTCCTTTGGAAAACCCAGCGTGGAACATTGCTGCTGTACACTATTGGAGTAAAAAGCCCAGAGTGTAGTTAAGCAGTTAGAGGATGGTTATTGTGCACCAGTAGGTGAGAGTCACTGTTACCTTTAGCATCCTTTGACCCACATTTTGACATGATTGAAATTTCAATGTCTTTAAACTCATGGGGTTTTTTTACATTTTTGACTTGCATATGATGGCTGAGGTAACAAGAGGTGGAAAAATTGAGGTTGACTGAGAAGCTGCACTGCATCTCTTTGCAATAGTAGGGTTTAGTAGCCTATTTAGTTGCTTGTGGATACTGTTTTTTCTGAATCAGTAACCTGAAATGTGGAGATATCTAATGAAATTTGGCATGAAAAGTTCCACCAACTTTGTGTTAAATTGAGTCTTTTACAGAGCAGAAGCAGCTGTATTGCTCCTGGAACTGAGCTTATTCTTGAAGTTGGTAGCCTGTTTTGTGTAATGATTTCTTTGTGCCAGTCACTGTTCTGGCCCCAAATTGTGCATGAAACTTCATTGTCTCAGAAACAGCAGTTTAGCTAAAGTGCTTGCAGATTAATTAGGAACTGACTATTTAATTTCCACTCAAATGACGTTTTTATTTAGAGGTAGTTTCTTTGGTAGGCATGAATGTGTTTCCAGTAAATTATATTAGGCTTGGCTTATTGAAAGTTGTAGTAAGCCAGCATTAAATTTAACAATGACCAGTTTGGATAGGGGCACAAAGCAGTATGGATGTTAACAGGCTAGCATTTGCAGTATCTGGGTCAAATTCAGTACTTGGAAGGAAGGATCCTGACTGGCTGTGACACTGAGATCTAGTCTTGGCCCAGTGGAGGTATTTTGAAGTCTACCTGGAGGCTTTGATGTGTCCTGACTAGTGAATGTTACCCTTGGAACTTGAACACAGGAGTAGCTAAAGAAGGGTGAGGTAGTGCAGTGGTCTGCAAGGGGCACTGAACTTCAAGAATTCGCTCCGGTCAGTCCAGAAGATTGTTGGTACTTTCTAGCACAGTGTTGACTGCTACCTGCAGAGCAGATGAGACATTGCTTTCCCCTTAGGGCTGAAGGAGTAAGGAAAGGACACTTTGTACCATTTAGAAACTAATGGAAATTGTGGTACTTCTGGCACACTCTTTAGTGCCTGATCAATCTGATGTAGTCTTGAGGCGTCAGCTGAAGTCATGCTGTAGAGAGGCAGGACTATTCAAAGGATGCATGCAAATATCAAGCTTAAGCACATTTGAAATACCATCTTTGAATTTGTCTATGAACTCACATATCACTTTTTCATTTATTTAAAAGACTTGCTTAAACTGTCACTGTAAGAGTCAATGGTTAGTCATATAGAACTGGTTGATAAATTGTGTACGGCACGAGGAAAAAGCCTACCTGAGTGTTAAATAAGTATTCAGAATCACAAAAAAGAAATGTTGAAGTTACTCATCTCTGGAGGGACCACTTTTTAAACAGTGAATTTTTATATCGTTCTTTCTGGACTTGGGGCAGTTTAAAGCTTTAATTCAGTAGATTAAGTTATACTCTGATATTTCTTGTAGTAATTTGACGTATTTTAGACATAAAGTCTTTTGTCCTGTTAGTTTGATAGTACTTACCTTACTGTCAAAGAGTTTCCGGAATTTTCCTTTCAATTTAAAAAATAATAAATTCTCTTTCCTCTCACACTGAAATATACTGAGATGTTAAATCCATAAAATGAGAATATAGCAGGCCTTTTAGAAGGCTTTGTTATCCTAAGAGTTATTCCCTGAAAAATACTTAATCAGTGTGGTAAATTGGAATATTAAGTAAATGAGAATAAAAACTTAAATGATCGCTTTGCCTAGAACCTTGTTATATGATAGAAGTCATAGAGCACTACTCTATGCAGCTACTACAAAAAATATTGAACCATTATATTTTGGTTAATTTATAGGTTGCAAACTTATATAGTTATTATTAGCAGTTCTTACCATCTTTGTTGATTTACATGGTAGTAGTTGTGTATTATTTTGTTTCTGGAAAGTTTTAAAAAGCAGTGTTCTTAAAATTTGAAGGGAAACTTTTTATAAAAGTTAATTAGCAACACAACTCTTCAATCCTGTTTTCAAGACTCTTTATATTTGGATTTCAGGTGCCTTAGAACTTGCTGATGTCTCTTCTGAGTTACCAGGCTTGAAGAGGATGCCAGGAATTACAAAATGGAAGGTACTTAAACTGATAGTTTTTTGAAGTTCTCTGTCTGTGGTAGAGTACTAAATTAGAGAAATTTTGAAGTGTAACATTTTACAACGTTAGATTGAGCTGGATTAATGCCAGTGATTTGATGTTTAGGGGAGAGAGCTAAAAGTCTTTCTGATAGTAAGTTCTTGTCTCTTCATCTGCTCTTCTCTTACCTCTAGATTTCTTAGGTTTCTCTCCTATACTTTAGTGGTATAATTCCCTTTCCTGTTGTGCGTATGTGGCCTGTAGATGGCAATGTAATTTCAGCCACTTTTAAAGTTATCCATCCTCCGTGGTCTTTAGAGTCTGTGAATGTTAGATTCTGTAGTTCTTCAGCTGGTCCATTTGAATCATTTGGAAGTAAAACCTGTGAAACCCGTTTTGGAAATTAGCTATTAAAACCTGCAGTGATGTGACTAATCTAGAATATTAATAGAATCCTGTATTTTGTTCCAGGCCTTATGTGACTTCAGTTCTAGAAACAGACTAGTAGGGAAGGGCAAAAAAACCCATAGCTGCTTCAACTTCCAGTTAAGAGTATACTCAAGAAGAGTAGAAGGCCATCCTGGTAATAGGGAGAGAAACTGATTAAATTTTAGTTCTGAGTGTGTGCCTTTGCAATGCCATTGGTTGTTCTGTCCTACCATCTTACTAGTCCCTTGCAATGGCAGGCTGCAGGTTTATACCTGTGTGCTGACTAGTGAACAAGATATGTGGAATAAAGATTTGCGTATGTTCTGCCATTGGAAATCCAACTGAGAAACTAGCCGATTTCTTTCTTCTTACAGTTCCAAAAGTTTATGCTGTACTTGTGCCTGAAGAATAAATGTAAAATACATAACTGTGGCTCTGTAATCTTAATTTTACTTTTTTTTGGTTCTGTAGAAAGCTACTATATATATGCATTTTTATATATATATGTATTTATATATATATATATATAAAATGATGACTAAGGTATGTTGTATTCCCTGTTGCATTTATTTCTCTGCAGTTAAAGTTATAAATCTCTTAACAGGTATTTTGGAAACTAGGCTAATAAAATCTGTTGAAAGTTTGCAAGACTTTCTTCAGTCCTTATTTGCTGGTACTCTGTTTTTTTCAGGCCTCATTGGCTAGCTTGTCACTGAATATATTTTCCTGCTTTGGTGCTGTTTTTACTTTTATTGCCTTTTTTATTTATTCCCTGGTGAAACATCTGTTCACTGGGAGCTCTGTGACTGATTACATTGAATATTCCTGAGCATCAGTTGACTGTAAATCTCTGGAAACAGCAAAACAGAAATAAGGTTTTGTTCAAGGGACACTTAGGTGCTTAGAAGCAGCATTCAGTACTCTCTCCTGAAGCCAGATGATGAGTGAACTCCAGTGAATTATTTCAGTCTTGAAGGAAGAGACCTTTTTTAACTCCAGATCCGATAATCTACTTCTGCAGCACTTTCACTCTTTGTTCTACCCTAGCACATGGCTAGTAAAATGTGCAGTAGAGTTCGGCGTGTTCTTTAGTGCTTTCTCATTCTACCAGTCTACCAGTTAGGCTGGTAAACCAAAACTGAACAGCACAGGGCTGTTGAGCAGTTATTCTGGTAAATCCAAAATAGTTCTAGACTCTTTTGGATTTCAGTTATTTATCAGTCCCATTGTTTGTTTTTTCTCAGGTTTCATTCATGACTTCCAAAGATGTACAGTCTGTCTTGTCTCCATCTAGCACTATGACATGTAGCATTGCTGCAACTTCTTTATTTTATTTTGTTGCCTCAATGACAAAAATGGGCCTTCGTTTCAGATATTAATTTTACACATTTGCCCCACATGTACCCAGATATGACCTTTCTTACAACCAGTACAAAACCAAGCATCTAGAGCTCTGAAGTGAGATTTTCCCTGACTTATTTTTTCACTTTAGTATTCTTTCTCAAAGAGCATTCAGAATGCCTTCCTACAATATTTGTGGCTCTAACCTTCTGCTTGTATCTCAAGAGTCCATCAAAAGCTTTGACCTCTAACCAGAATGAGGTGATGTTAGGCCTACACGGTATATTAAAGTGGATTTATAAATGTGTTCTGAGTTCTGGGTAAAGTTATAGACACTAGAAAATTCATGGGGGACATGGTTCTTCAGCAGCTTTCTTTGAAAACATCTCTATCGATGACCTATGTGCACCTGTGGCATGGGGCTCTGTGATTACCTAGCTGTTGTGCAGCACTCTTGCATCTTTCTTATGTAATGAAATTGGGATTCCTCAGTTCTAATCTCTAGTAGACAGCAGTGTTATTTTCTATGACAGAAAATAATTTCTCTTTTTGGCATCGAAACCTTGGTTTGGAAATATTATAATTAAAACTTATAAAATGGTGACCTATATTCTTCACAATGTTTATACTTACTCCTTTGAAGGTAATGCTGAAAGATGGACAGTGGTTTGAAGAGTGGAAAGATGTGCCTTCGAATAGACAAACACAAATACGTCCCACTATGTTTCCATTAAAAGATGAAGAGAAGCTCAAGGCAATGAATCTAGAGCGTTGGTAAGTTTTCCCAGAGTAGATCTTATGAGGATTTGATGATTAATATGTATGATGGTGGGCAACATATAATTACGTCAGATTAAGAATGTATTGCAGTATAGACCTGTTTGTATAGGTCTGAGTATATTTTGATTGCTGCCTATGTAATGGCAGTAGACTATTTAAAGTCCATTGAATTCAGAGAAATTATCACGTGTTGCTTCTGAGGAGTAAGTACTCACACAAAAAGGTCAAATTCTTTGCATCCAATAGAGATGTATAGCCAAAATTATTGGAAAAGTATGTAAATTTTCGGCATTTTAACAGTGTAACTTACTTGCTACGAAAGGCTTTCTGTAACTATTCTAAAAATATTGTTTAGAAATGAGTCATTAAAGCTCATATGTGAACTGTGAAATGAATGTGTTGCACTGATGCAAGTAATTTTGCCAGAATGCGCTACTTTAGATCCTGTTTCTAGTTTGATAAATTAAATCTGCACAATCCTACTAGGAATACTTAGCTTATCCTGGAAATGAATATAAATGTGACACTTTTAGTATTTTGTGAGAGCCTGAATGCAGATATGAATACACTGCAACATTTTTTTTTATTTTCTCTCTAGTCTTAGGATATTACCACATCACCAGAACACAGGTGGTTTCTTTGTGGCTGTGTTAATTAAAAAATCTCCAATGCCCTGGAATAAACGTCAGCCTAAGGTAATTTTTTCTAAAATGTTAATTATTAGTAATGTTTCAGAATTTTTTAAAAATACTACACATAATAGAAAACATACTATAACTGTTTTTTGTATCTGCCCTTCAGTTATAGCTCAGTGTGTCAATTAAAAATAAATTCTTAAATCCCTTAAGTACTTAAAAAAAAATGACAACTTCTAAAATAGAAAAAAAAAAGAGGGGATTTTGAAATTATAGTAAAATAGTAAGATAAAGCTTGAACCTAAAATTAAGCCTTTGAAAGAATTATGGAAGCAGATTATATTGGGTAGCTAAAGCTGTCACTTCCTTCAGTGTGTGCGGTCCCCATGCTGAAGGCTTTTTTCTGCTGTGTTGTAAGCTAATTCTGATTTCAGTTTATCTTACTCAGTGGCTGGTTGCTCAGGGGTGATTCACTGACAGATTAGTCTAGGAGATCAGCAGCAGGGGGAGTGGATGTAAAGCTGTTAGGAGCAGCAGCTTCAGCCATCTGACTTTAATCCATTTGTTGTCAATTGTCTTTAAAATCCTGTCAACAGGATTTCAAGTTGGCGTGATTTATTTGATCTCTTAGATTGCCACGTCTGTGAGAAAAACGTCTTGTGGGAATAAGCTCCTTTAGGTGGTTTTGTTCATTTGATTTGGTTAATTAGAACAGCTTACGAGTAAAATGTATATGTGGCAATAGGGAAGAAACATTTATTCAGTAGCAAGTGTCATCTAGGTAGTTTATTCTGTTCTAAGTTGAACATTGTAGCACTCTCCTGGAAGGTGTGCAGCTGCAGGATGCATGTTTCACTAGGAGGAAAACAGCAGATCCTGTCTTAAAGTAGTCTTCTCTGAGTGCTTGAACATGACTTTGTAAATAGTACAAAAATAGCTTTCTTGGAGAGTTGGTACGAAACTGTGCAGATCAGTACTAGAGGTAAATGCAATTTATAGTGGTATCTTACTCTAGTAATCGGATTAACTCCCTGAATGGATCTGTTTAAGCACTTGGATACAAATTGACAAGAATAAAGCACATGCAAAGGGAGAACGTAGGTGCCTTCTGTTACAATTTGGATTCTACTTTGCTTTGTTGAAAATAATTTAATCTGAAATAGGTTCATCAGAAGTTACCGCAAAGAACAGGAGATACTGAAGTGTCAGCAACTAATTCAGATAACGGTTCTGACTGTATTACTGAAGAACCAATACTTTCTGAAAATGAGGAGTCTAAGAAAATGCAAGGATTGCAGAATTCGGACACTGAGCAAAGCAAAAAGGAAGGAGTATGTGGGTAAGTATTTGTCCTGCCACAGCTTTGTAATTGCTAAGTATTCTATAGTTCTTTTGTTACTGGACTCATTTAGAAGTCGATCAAGAAGAATTAATGAATTCATTCAGTTGTCCTGCATTTCCATGTTTTCTGTCTTGTATTTCAGCAAGTTTGGAAACTAACCAGTTTTCTTATTAGCATTTTCAAAGTCTGTTAGTACTTTCTTCTCTTTTAAGGAAAAAAAATACTTTCGGAAGTTAACATTTGGAAAATCTTTATTGTCTTTGCAATCACTGTCAGAAATCTCTGTTTACTTGTTTTTGTGGTTTCTGTTTTAACGCACTACTTTTGCTTCCTCGTGTTAAGAAGTTATATTGTGAGTACTGTTGTCTTAGTGTAGTGTGGGAAAATGCCAGTATTCGCTTTGGCATACTGTTGTTACCATAAAGCAAGTGTTGACTAAATACTAATTTGAAACTGAGTACTTTTACTAAAACTAACAGTGCAGTGTTATTTTCTTTTTAGGCCACCACCATCTAAAAAAATGAAGTTGTTTGGTTTTAAAGAAGACCCTTTTGTCTTTCTCCCTGAAGATGATCCATTGTTCCTTCCTATCGAGTAAGAAAAAAGTGTTTCTGGTTTGGCAGTAAGATTCCTAGTAGTTTGGGAATATTAGTAGTTTAGTTCATCACAAATGATGGGTCTATTTGATTGTGTGTAAAGATTTTTGCCTAATTTTACACTAGGGACTCTTCTCCTTAACATTTAAACACTTCTTAAATGAAAATAGCCAACTGGAGTTTGCACTGGAAATTTTCAATTATATCTTAGTGTCTATGACAGCTTGTCTTTTCTGATGTCATACACTTTAGAAAGTCTACTCTTTGTGTTGTGGAAGCAAAGTGCTAAGTGTTTGCAGAGGTAGCCAGAGGAAGTGGGCTAGCCCATGCAATCTGAGTATGTGATTTCATTGCTCAGTTAATCAAAGCAAGCATTATGGCTACAGGAAGTTCTATGCATTGGACCCATCATTTCCCAAGATGAATTTACTGACTCGAACTCAAGAAGGAAAGAAGAGACAGCTGTACATGGTTTCTAAGGAGCTAAGGAATGTGCTTCTGAACAACAGTGAGAAGATGAAGGTATGGTTCATCTTCGGGTTTTCACAAGGGAGGTTATAAGCACTAGTGGGTATCTCCTTGAACTTTATTGCCAAGCTTGCTGTTTATATAGAACATTAGCCCTCTGACAGATTTTTTTTTTTTAATCTGGATTAATGTTTTCCTCTCCATCCCTCCTCTATTAGAGGTGAAGAGTTGATTCTGAGAGGTAAATAACAGCCTTCAGGATTAAAATCGGTAAATTTTTGCTGGATGAAAGGCAACTTAAAAGTAAACAGAGCGAATATATATAACTGCTTTGTGTGTATCAGCATTTTTATGCAGTCTTCAGGTAATTGCACAAGTTTACATTGATGCTGTTGTATTTATGAACCCTTTAATTATAAAATCATTAAGAGCTCTGAAAGCCTACCAAAAATAAGATACTTTCAGCTGAATTATTAGGTGGCTGCGTTATATGAGGACACTGTTTTAAAGTACTTTCAACAAATGAACATTTTGAGAAGTTGTTGAGCTGACTGATTATGGAATAATAAGTTTTTGTGAATTAGAGGAGAAAAAATGTTTTTATAGGATTCCCTATGGTAAACATCTTGCAAATGCTAAAGATTTGTCTTTCAAGTCATTGAGTGATTTAAGTTGGAATGAGGTCATCTAGTCCAGCTTCTGCCTTGCATCAAAGGGAGCTGACTTCAAAGCTAGATCAGATACAATCTGGGTCCAGTCAAATCTTGAAAATTGCTGAGGATATTCAGTCCATCTTTACAACAGATCGTTGAGATGGATAAATAATTATTCTTTTATCCCCCATGCAGGAAATGGCTACATAATTGACAAAATTTTAAGAAATTAGTGCATTGCATTAGGTAGTGAGACTTTGAATACCACAAAGCATATAGTGTCCTAATATTAATGTCGTATACATTTGTTATTGTCCTTGCTTGACTTTCCCAAAATCACACAGAAAATTCTTACTCACTAAAATTGAAATTAGATATTAATAGTTCATTGCCCTAATTTTAAAACTGCCACTTCCTCACACTGTTCAGTTTTCAATATGAAAAGGAGTAAAAGGCATTTTATGATGAGAGGGCACTACATTTTTATAGCGGGAGATCCTTTTTCTGTTGGATGAATTTTCACATTAATTCAGTGTCCAATGCGAGTGAACAAACGTTACAGCAGAGTTATCCTTTCTTCCTCCTTTTAGTCAAACAGTTGATGAAAAACAAGGTTTAGACTGGTAATTTAGAATTTATGCTCCTTAATGACGCTTTTTGGCTTTGCCATTTGCAGGTTATTAACACAGGGATAAAAGTCTGGTCTCGCAACAGTGATGGTGAACAGTTTGGATGTGCATTCCGATTAGCGCAAGAGGTAATTACGTAGCGTTGTATTTTCAAAGCAGATATTTTGGTTTCCTCTAGAGCCTATAACACAGCTGGCATGAACTTTGTCAGATTGGTGACAATTTGCATTTTCAGTGTGGTTTAAAATGTGAAAATTGCTTTCTGATATTAGGTAAAAGGACATACTGTTTTTAACACTTTTCCTTCACAAAGTAAGAGTTGCATTTTGAAATAATTGTGTTTATTTATTAAACAGGGAATTTATACTCTGTACCCATTCATTCATGCGAGGATTATAAATGTCTGCATAGAAGATGTTAAAATTCTGCTAACCCAGGAAAACCCATTCTTAAGTAAATTTAGCAGTGAAACACAGAAGAAAGTCAAAGACATGGGTAAGCCTTCTAATTTGTTCTGTGACAGAATTATTTTTATACATTACACAGAGGACTATGAAAATCTTGTGACATAAACTGTGTTTGCTAAAAATTTTGGCTAAATTTATCTTGAATATACTTGTTAGGTAAGAAAACATTACTGAAACCATCTGTGCTATTAGAAATTTTAGTCCTTTCTGGTTGCAGTCTTCAAGGTTTATGACCTTCAGAGCCAGACTTGTGACTTCTGTGAAGCAGTGCTGTGAGGCAGCATATAAAATATCTGATGAACAAAGATTTTATATACACTTCTGATCTTTATGCCTTTTAGTGCTCCAGCTGAAACTGGTTGTCATCTGCAGTTGCATGTCATGATCTTATGTATCAAATATAGTTATTCAGATTCAGTTTCCTTAAATATGGGGAGCAATGTCTACTAGTATTAAATTTTTATTTCCTCTTCACTGGATGCTTGAAGAAATGAAGATGAGTTTCCAACTCATTGCTGATCCTTGTACTTCAGTGTTTGATGAGAAAAAATGGGATGAAAAATTTTTCTAAAAGTTTGAGCTGGCATACTCTTATGTTCATTTTAATTAAGTAGAGGTTCCTTGCTAGGTTCACTGAGTAAATTAATCCATTATGTGGGTTTTGTATTTTAATTTGTTTGTTTGGCATTTGGAGGAGGCAGGGTTGGCAGTTGCTTCTGTAACTGTAGAAATACTTTGGTCTGGAAAAGAGGGAATAAAACCTGATATTGTCTATAGTTCAGTGTATTGATGTAGATAACTGCTAACCATTTCATTCTGTGTGACTGTCTAAAAACTTGTTTTCTTGAACATTTTCAGATTACAATCACTTTAACATTGTACCAAGTAACATGTTTTGTTGTTTGTTTTCCCCACCCCCATTCCCTGCAGCAATGGGCAGTGTAGTTCTGAAGTATGACCCCGACCCTGAGTAAGTAGATGTATTGCTTTCCGTTTATGCACTTGGACAAGAATTTATTTTCGCTCAACAAAAACAGAAGTAGAGGCATAGGGATGCTGTGAGGTTAACAGTAAAGCCAGATAGGATACAGAGACTGACAGAGAAGGTGTCTTGCCTGTGTATTCTTAAAACAAGTGTAGCGTTTAGCTTTATGAAGGAGAGCTGGTAGTTCTGCCAGATATCCACAGTTCACTGCATGTGATGTATTTGTTTGTTTCCCTGTAAAGTCCAGCATTGGAAAGGAAAATGTTACTTTTCATTATTATTTTTTGTGGACAAAGTACCTTTTCGTGGACAAAATTCTTGAGAACTTCTTAAAAGTAAACTTTCATCTTGTTGTTCCTTGTATTAGTTCTGAAACCAGAGCCAGAAAATTATTTTGTTTGTTTGAGAAATTTAATAGCATTGAGGATTTTTGTGGGTTTTGTTTGTTTGTTTGGTTTTTGTTTTTTTGTTTTTGTTTTTTTTTTAATTTTGTGCACTTATTTATTGGGGTATGGCTATAAAATGAAGTTTTGAAGATTAACTTTCTTATAATTGACTGAAGATAACTGCTTGTTTTTAGAAAACCTGATGATCTTCAGTGTCCCATAGTGCTGTGTGGTTGGCAAGGAAAGACGTCACTTCGTGCCTTTGTGCCCAAGAACGAGAGACTTCATTACCTGAGGATGATGGGAGTTGAAGTGTTTAAAGCAAAGAGGAAAGAGGAGGAATTGGAAAACAAAACTGAGGAACATAAGCTGGCGCAAACAGAGGAAAGAATGGATGTGGAAGATAAAGAACACGATTTAGTCACAAAAATGGAAGCAGAAATAGGTGAAGAATCTTCCCAGAGTCCTGTGGAAAGCAGTGCAATGGAAATAGAAAATAAAACTGAGGATTCAGATCAATCTAGTAAAAATGCCACCACTCACATAAGCAAAGGCACAGATACAAGTAATGTGAAAGATTAGGTTTTTTAGTATTGCTTGGCAGCTTCCATGAGGCTCAAATCGAGACTTTTGCTTTTAGCATGAAACTGTATTTTAAAATTTCGGTTGGAGTGGAATGTTCCTCTTTTTGAAGTTACACCTATTTTATATTTTCAATGAAAGCTATAAAGAGATTTTGAGTGTGTCTTCTTTTTGCCATTTTAAACTTACCATTAGTGGTGGGTTTACATGTCTGTTGCTGACAAAGGACCAGGCACTGGTAAAATCTTAAGCCCATATTTTAAATGGAACAAATGGATTGCCTATGTAACTGGTCAAGAATTCCTTCAGAAGAAAAGCCTGGAATTTCATTCAAAGTACATAAGTTCAAAAAAAAAAATTCTTAGCCCACCTACACCCAATCTGATTACTATTTCTGCAGGCTCCTTAATGGATAAGAGAATCAGCATGAGTATGCATACAGATGTGCGTACAGCATGGCTGGCTACCAACCTGGTTAACAGTTGTTCAAAACAAAACCATGTACAGCATCCTGGAAAAAAAAAAAAAGCAGAATGCATTTTGCTGGAGACTGATGTCTGAGATTCTTCTTCAGAGTGATTAATTGCTTGGCAGACACAACTAGTAAATGTTGGTAACTAGATCTTCAGGTGTGCTGAGCATGTCTCAGACTTGTGTCTTGAAATGTGCCTGGTAAGAGTCTGTGACCACCACCCCAGATCTGCTGGGGGTCATCTGTTTATCTGTCAGTTCTTCAAGGGGGAGTCATCTCTACTTTTTGCAAGATACTTGTTTATAGCTGAAGTAATAGTTTAAAAAAAATGTGGTGGTATATATGTTGTATAGTAGATGCTAAAAAGAGGTTATTTAGGTTCAAAAGGGTAACTTACTTAATCTGACTTGGAAAAAAAAAAAGTTGGCTACCTCAGAAACTTCAAATATAAATTCCATCCTTTGTGGATTAGTTTCAGCAGTACTCTGCTTGTATCAAGTTGACCTGAAAGGGAAGTGACCAATGGTACAAGGCACTATCCTCCTCTAGAGCCATCATGATGCAAATATTTGCTTTGCTTGTCGAAAGGAATTTTACCATGTGTAGTTTTTACTGATGGAGTCCTTATGTGGCTTAGATGCATATGTTGTACCTTGCTACAACAGACTTTCTGATGCCTGCCCTTGAACTACTTCATCAAAGGGAGTATTCTTGAGGGACAGACATAAAAGTGAAATAATGCTGTGTCCTCTGATGAGATATTAGTCTCATGCAGTGAAGAACCATTGGCAGGACTCATTTTCCTCATGAGAGTCCATAAAATAGGTTAATAAAAAATCAGTTCTTGCCCTTGTATTTTGCTAAGGTTTGAGTTTGTTCTTTGAATTGGGAACTGTGATGGGCCACGTTCTTTTTTGGCAGCTCCTTAGGCTGAAGAGAAGCATAGCAGAATTTTCTTTGGCATGGATGTGTGTGCAAAGTGTAATTTTTAACTCTTAAAGTATATGAGGAAAAGAATTGTAGCAACTTTTAACTTCAAACATTTTTGTATCTTTGCATTTGTTCTGACATATTGGGCATTTGAAATGGAAGAAGGGTGGAAAGACCAGTGTGATTTTTAAGTCCTCATTGTCATTTGCAGTGCTCAACCCTGAGGGTGATTTGAATCTATCTAATCTTTACGCTCTGATGATCTGCATAAATTATCAAAAGGTCAAGTGTTAAAACTTATGTGAAGAAACTAAGATTTGTATTTAATTATGCCTTCTGTTACTGTATCAACTGATGTTTCTGAGCAGCAGTTTAAGCTTCCTTTCAGTCAGTGGCTCAGCTAAGAATATGAGTTTATTACAAGTTAAGCTGATAAGAATACTTGTTGATACAAACAGTCCAGACAATTAAATCAGCAGAAAGCAAACTAGAAAATTAACAGTCCTGATCATTATTTTTGACTGAGCTTACCACTGGCTGACTAAAATACGAGTAGGAAGCTTTTATCTGGGTGCTAAAGAAAAGTAGGTTCTTGGATCTGAAACTGAGTATAACTCAGACTTGTAATAGACTAAGAGCACACATCTGCATCATTTTAAGTCTTCTGAGTAGTCCCATTTTCCTTCGTTATCTATGAAATTTTGCTTTGCTCTTGGCTTCTTGAAGGTGTTTTTCTCTTGTCAAGTGCAAGAGAGAGATCTCAGCCAAGAAACTGAGAGTCTAATTTTCTTGTGCTGATCAGCAGTTTTGCTCCATATCTCCAAGCAAATCCAGGGATTGCAGATTTATTGTTTTGGGGGTTTTTTTAATAGTGTGAGTTTACTTGCACCAGCTGCTCTGTCCCAGTTACTCTTACTTTGATAGCCAGAAAGGAGATGTCCAAAACTGTCTGGGTAGTGGCTGAAAACACTGTCCTAGCGTCCCAGGCTGGGAGCCTGATGAAATGGAGTGTGTTTTGTTTTTCTCTCTCTGCTGAGCTCTGTGCTACTGCGGGTCTGACACTCAGGTGGCCAAATTTCTGCTCTAGTGGTTTGGAATGTGGGTTGCTGCAAATAATATAAAAGGAAGACAGAAGTGACGTGCAGTCATGGTAAGTCTGAAAATGCAAAAATCTTAAGTTGACGTTCACAAATTATGCAGTCCATCCTTGTGAGTAGTCCCTATTAAATGTTGCGAGATTTCTCTAGTTAACATTGCTGATTTTTAGAAACACAGGACTGTAGAGGTAGGGAGGTTTATCTGTGATAGAGGGGAAAATTGAAAAAAACCTCGTGCTTCTAAATGAATAGTCTGATGATGTTCTGCTCAGAAATGTCCTCAGGAACAACTAGAAAATCTGTTGACTGAAAAACCTAGAAGGATAAAGAGGGAATGCACATGGAATGCTTTTCTTCAACATCTACCTAATGTTAGTAATTTGTTACTTTTGGAAAATTGTTAGAATTTTCTTACTTTAGTTTACTGCAAAATTAATATACCGTAGCCTAGTGCCACTGGGGTGATTTGTTGTTTTGTTTTTTTTTTTCTTAAATGCCTGAATCCTATTGAACGTCAGTGAGGCTTCTCAAAGTATACAGACCCCTTGAAAACTTCCTGCCTGTGAATTTCAAATTTAGCTTTGGCATTAAAGGAAAGCAACTTAGCGCATTTAACAGCCCCTTCTCGAGGCTGCAGCAAAGGGAAATCAGTGCGTTTCTTCCTTCCAGTGGGAAGAGTCCAGCCCAGAAAATGAATCAGTGGTGTGCTCGTGCCGCATTGCTGCCGGAGCTGAACTCTGCACGCTGTCTCTCCCTGCTCTCTCCCTCCAGGACAAGTCTTGTAAACAACCTCCAGCAAAGCGGCGTGGATACAACAGCAGTTCTGTTATTCCCAACAAATGTCCCAATAAAGTTGGCTGTCATGCTCGCGCCACTGCATGTTCTTGCCAGTTGCCTTCACAGCTGGTGCCCAGGAAGGTTGGTTGGCACTTTCTGCGGAGGGATCTGCAGCCAGCACGGGGATGGGAGGCACCACACTGCCCGTGCCCAGCACAGGCCAGTTTTGGAGGGACCCAGCCTGCACGTTCCCTGCTGCATCAAATGCTCACCTAGGTATGTAACCCTGTCTGCACCTTTTTCCCCTCCAGGTGGATTTTATTTTGCACACCTACCACTCATCTTTGTACCAAACACATGGTTGTATTTATTATTTAATTTGTTGCTCTCTGTTTCTTAAATCTTAGTACTGTTTTTTGACTAAAATCTGATTTTCTTCTTAGGATGTGGTTGCTCGAGTTACAATTTTAAGTTTCTTCTGTGCTTCGTATTTCTATTTAGTTACAGTTTAAGCAAGCTATTGGCTACATAGGTGTTTGTCTGTGTAGGCAAATTTTTTCTTTAAATGAGTTGTCTATGTGTGGCTTTGGCAGGATGGGTAATTCCAGATGCTTTGTCACCAAATCATCACTTGGGAACGTGCCTGTATGCTCTTGCCTCCTCTGAGTACCTCCTTGTATTTCTGATGTTTTGCCTCTTCCCATTTTCTGTTTGTGATCCCTTGAAATTACAGACTTCTCCCTAGTTCTCTTTTTGCATAGCTCAAAGACTTTCAGGTATGTTAGCAATGGACTCTTGCCTGTTCTCACAGGGAAAACAGATATGAACAGTGGCCAAAACAATGGGCCACGTAAGAATGGGGTAATTGTGCAACAGTCCTTGCCCAGAATATTCTTCCAGACCTCAGGGACGTTTTGGACCAGAGATGAAGTTTTTGGGTTTAATGGTCTCTTGCATATTTCTCCTCCGTTAATTTGCTCCCTGAGACCAGGTGAACTCTGAGAACTCGTAACATCCTACTACAGGGATCCTGAAAATCCTACCTGTTGTATGAAGTATTATTTTAGCTCCTGATAGTTTTGTTCAGTGATCCCCATTTCTTGCATGGAAACTGACAACAAGATTGCTGACTAGCTTGGTCAGGACACTGGTGGTTTTATTATCTTCTGTCATATCCTTTACCAGTCATCTTTTTTCCTGGCTGGAGGGTCCTAGCTTACGTTTTTGTTCCCTGTATAGAGATTACTCCAAACTTTTCTTGATCTTAACCACATGTTTCTGAGCTTTCTCAGTTTTTATGTCCTCTTCTAAGGAGAAGAGGAGAGGAACCAGAACTGCATATGATGCTTGGGATGTGGCATTTGTGGAAGTGTGTGCTCACTATTCTGTCCTTCAAGTCCTCTGGTTGGTGTTTTTTAGTGCTACTAAATATCAAGCTGTTGTTTCAGTGGAATTGCCTGTCATGACCTCATTATTATGTTCTGAGAGGCAGTTGAGAACCTGTTGTTTTGCATATGATGCTAACGTTATCTTTCCTCACACAGATCACTTTTATCTGCAATGAGTTTCACTTGCTGTTTTATCATCCAGTTGTTCAGTCTTGTAAGGTCCTTCTGCACTTCTTTTTTTTAAGTTGGACCTAAACCAGTAGCTACCAGATCGAATTGTGTCCCACCCCAGTTAGTTTTCTAGGAGTCTGCAAGTCCTTGGCTGTTCTGAAGGGATCCTGAACTAGTAGTTTCATTACAGCTAGGTCACAGGAGAGGAATTTCACATCAAAATGCCAGTGAGCAGGATGACCGAGCACCAAAGAGAGTACAGCATTTTATTTCTAATATTTAAATAATTAAATATCTGCCCACAAATTGGTCTAACA